CGGGGCTGTGCGAGGGCCATTGGCTGGTTTACTTGAAACGAAACCAGGCATCTTATAGAGCATCTCACGGCCGTGTGCAACACACACAGCTCGCAGAGCTGTCTGTGTGAGTCCGCGCTGTGAGTGCGCTCCCACGTTGAAAGGAACTGGCGGGATGAGGGAGCTATGTAAGAGCCACTGGCTCTCGTCTCTTGAAGCAAAAACTGAGATTCACGAAAGCACGGCACGTGGACAGAGGCCGCTCGCAGCAGACACTGTCTGCGAGGCTGTCTGTGTGCATCTGAGGGCCCTTAGGGATTCGCAGCGGGCCCTTACACCAAAAAGTCGGCCATTCGCACACAATTTGAAGCCTAAAACTGCCTGCTCACACTGTGAGTCACGCGGTGAAATCGAATCTCTGCTGGTGCTGCTCAGAGCTGAGAAGCAACGGCTCCTGCGCTGCAGCCAAAGGTGCCACCTGCGTCTTGGAAGCACGCACAGGCACACGTCACGGACTCAGAGGGCGCGTGGGTTGCGCATCACGGACGCGCGAGGACTTGCTTGCTGGAGCCCTCCGAGTCTGCAACTGTCATTATAGACACTGTCCAGTTAGAAAACCGGGCGTAGAGAGGCCGCAGACACTGTCCGAGCGCTGGGCTGGACCGGCGGTAGCCCAGGAAGCACACAGAGGCGAGTTTGCTTACGAGCAAGCATTTGCTTGGGGCGATGCGCCTCGTCAAGGCAGGGCATGAGGCACTGCAACTGCGAAGCCTGCTTGAGATGCCTGCGGTCCCGGGCACTGCCCTGGGATGACCAATAGGCCCAGGCCCACTCGTGCAGCAGTGGCGCTGCCACAGGAACGCACGCTGTCTGCCCATCGACCCGAGAGTGCTTTGTGGGCACTGCCCTTAAAAATGGCTGCATGACCACTGCATCGCTTCCCTGGCAGGTTGAGCACTGCTCGAAACTGCTGGGGTGTGCCGCAGCGGCAGCAGGGCCTGGCGCGTACTCCACACAAAGACCCATGACCGACGTCAAGCGTGGCCTAACTGTTTGCTAAACAGTACGGAGCCCGCATGAAGGTCGCAGGCCTCAGGGCGCTGCCCTGAGGTTTAGGATGCGAAGAAACGGCAGCACTGCTGCCTGCTTGTCGACAGCCCTGCTGCACAAAACTGGAAGCCCCGCAACAGCAACAGCCGGACTCCGCACCAAGATCTTGACGGGCAACAGGCACCGCCATCACTGCTTACTCAACAGTGAGCAGCATGCATGAAGATCTCAAGCCATGAGGCACGCGACCTGCACTAAACCTGGCTGTTTGTTTGCTAAACGGGAAGGAACGTGCATGAGGACCGCACGCTCCGCCTGCACTCCTCGGGGCGCTGCCCTGAGGTTTGACATGCGAGGCATCAGCGGCACTGCTGCATGCTTGGCATTAGCGCGGCCGTACGTTTACGCTGGGTTGTAGGACAGCAGCGACCGCGGTGCTCGACGCGAACGCCGCACCAAAACAAACGATGCCACACTATTTGCGAAACGAAAAGAAACCACATCACATGCCTGTTTGCTGCTGGCCTGCAGCACGGCTGCATACGCAGGGTTGGCGCGAACTTCGCACCAAAATCCCGACCGGGACGAAGCATTGCCATAACTGTTTACCAAACCGAACGCCGCGCCAAAACCACGGCCGGCAACATCGTTGTCACACTGCTCACGAAACAGCAGGGAGCCACGTGAACATTCCAAGCCTCGAGGCACTGCCCTGAGGTTTAGGATAGAGGCAACGGCAGCACTGCGACCTGTTTGCCTGTAGCACTGCTACATCCACAGGGCTTTGCGCGAACTTCGCACCAAAATCCCAACCGGGACGAAGCGTCGCAGCATTGTGGACCAAACAGTAGGAAGCATGCAAAAACACTTCCTGCTTGGGCAAGGCACTGCCCTGAGGATAAGTATGCCAGACATTAGCAGCGCTGCTGCATGCTGACACGTAACACGGCTACAAACCACGCTACACTCGAAAGTCTGAAGGCCTCAAACCTCAGGGCACTTTTCAGGCGTATGAGGCGAGGCATTAGCAGCACCGCTGCATGCGTGCCTGCAGCACTGCGCTGCGAACAACATGCTTTGGGGGCCGACCCTGCAACAGCAACGGTCGCAGGGCCTAGCGCGGAGTTAACAACAAGACCCTGACGGACACCAAGCATTGACAAACTGTTTACTAAACAGCAAGAAGCAGGCGAAGGAGTGCAAGCCTCGATGCACTGCCCTGAGGTGTAGGATGCGCAGGCAAAACTGCCGCCTGCATGCCTGTAGCACTGCTACACGCACGGCTGCCTTGGGGGAAAACAAGAGCAGAGGTTCAGAGCTTATTGCGGACTCCGCACGAAAGCCTGGACCCACACCAAGCATTGGCAGACAGTGCACTAACCACCAAGAATCAAGCGGAGGGCCCTACTCCTCGAGGCACTGCCCCGGGGTTTAGGAAGTGAGGCATCGGCAGCACTGCTGCCTGCCGAAGCTGCACTGAAGGACCTGCGGGAGCAGTCCGCGCCAAAACTTGACAGCATGGAGCATTCACAACACAGTTTACTGAAAACTAAGAAGCCTGTAGGGCGGCCTCAGGCCTCGGGACACTGCCCCCCAGCTGACATCCAGCATATTTATGACTGCGAAAAGGAGATAACTTATCTCCTAATGTTGACATCCTCACGAACATCCACTTGAGCACACTGGAGGAATCGAGGGACAAGCGGCACTGCCGAGTCCGTGCTGGCGTCACTCACGAAGCGAATGGATACCAGCGACGCCAAGCTTTGGCCAAGGTGCCAATGCAAACTTTGCATTAAGGGCTCGGGCTCTGGGGCCTTGTGCGCGCACTGCACGGCACTGCCTTAAGGCAACACAGAAGCTCGTCATTACTAATGCGAGCCCACAGGAAAAGGCGGGCAGGGGGCCCTTAGCAACTGGCAGGGGCCCTTAGGGACACGCAGGGGCCCTTAGGGACTCGCAGCGGGTCCTCACACCAAAAGGCACACCATTTACGAGCACTTTAGGCTTGGAACTACCTGCCTGCACTGTGAGTCAGACACGGCGGAAAACAGACCCCACCGAGGCCTCCCAGAGCTCATTCAACGGCGAAATCGGAGTGATCGTCACTGACGTCCTCCGCAACGACGCGGGTGGCACTGCTCACAACCCACAAGAGATAACTTACCTCTTCATTGCATACCTCTCGCAAGGCCTGCTCGAGGATATCTGGCAGACTGCGCTGCGAACAAAAAGCAAAGCGACACGGCACTGCCGAAGACGCCTCGGTGCATGCCGCTGGCCAAAGGGTTACTAACCCCAGTACTGCAAGGCTACAGTGCCAGTATGGACTCCGGTTGCACGTGCGCCCTGCGTTGTCCATGGCTCTGCCGGACAGTGATGCTAGGAGGTGGCATTGCACCGGGACCGACGACGTACGTGGAGGCTGCAGCAGCCGCTGGCCCTGCGCTTTCCCACTGGCAGGCCGAGGCTGCGTTTTCCTGTGTTTACTCCCTTCGCTGAGGGTGCGAACAAAGCTACCCGTGCCATTGTCTTTACCATCCTTGTGGTAGGCGTAGCCACTGGCCTCCATTTTCTTTCTGACGCGCCCTTCTCAGGCAAGGACGTGCTTAAGCCTCGACTGTAACTTAGCGTGTCATCTTCCTCCCCACTGGGGGGGCCAAGCACACGCGGCGCTGCTTGTGCGTGCTTGCAGCACTGCCACAGGCACAAGCCAGCAGGTGCACCCAACAAGAGAAGAATGCATGACCACCTGGAGCCTTGGGGTGCAGACGTGAGGCCTAGGATGCCAGGCATCGGCCGCACTGCTGCCTGCCTGCTCGCAGCACTTTCTCGTGCAGAACCTGCACGCAAAACCTCCAACGGCGCTGCCGCAGAAGTGGCAATGGGCAGCCACAATACTGTTGACACAATTGTCTAACCAGCAGATGCCTGCAAGGCGGAAACCTCGGGGCACTGCCCTGGGGTTTAGGACGCGAGGCGTATGCAGTGCTGCTGCCTGCGTGCCTGCAGTACTAAACGGATGAACCTGAAGCCTCGGGGCACTGACCCGGCATCACTGCTGCCTGCCTCCTCGCAGCACTGCTGCATGCATAAGCTGCACTGCAGAACCACCAACAGCGCGGCTGCAGGGACACTGTCACAAAGCAGCAGATGCCGGGAAGGGGGCTTCAGACCTCGGGGCACTGCCCTGGGCGTTGGGATGCGAGGCGTAGGCAGTGCCGCTGCCTGCCGGCCTGCAGCACCAAAAACATGAACCTGGAGCCTCGGGACACGACCCGAGGTTTATAATGCTATGCATCGGCAGCACTGCTGCCTGGTTACTTGCAGCACTGCTGCATGCAGAAGCTGAACTGCAGAACCACCAATAGCACTGCTGCAAGGACGCTGTTTACAGCGGGGCACTGCCCTGGGGTTTAGGATGCGAGGCGTAGGCGGCGCTGCTGCCTTCCCGCCTGCAGCATGAAAACCAAAACCTGTAGCCTCGGGGCACTGACCGGAAGTTTTGACACTAGGCCTCGGCAGCACTGCTACCGGGTTACTCGCAGCACGGCCGCATGCAGAAGCTGCACTGCAGAACCACCCTGTTAACTGAACAGCCGATGCCTGCAAGGAGGCCACGAACCCCGGGGCACTGCCTCGAGGTTGAGGATGCGAGGCTTAGGCAGTGCTGCTGCCTGCCAGCCTGCCTGCAGAACGAAAAACATGAACCTGAAGCCTCAGGGCACTGACCTAAGGCGTATGATACTAGGCATCGGCGGCACTGCTGCCTGGTTACGTGCAGCACTGCTGCTTGCAGAAGCCGAACTGCAGAACCACCAACAGTGCCGCCGCAGAGCGACACCGAGCAGCACAACACCGCTTACTAAACAGTGAGCAAACCGCATGAGAGTCCCAAGCTTCGGGGCACTGCCCTGAAGTTTCGGATGAAAGGCATGGGCAGCACTGCTGCCTGCCTGCCAGTAGCGCTGCTACGGCACCGTCCATGGCACTACAGAAACTACCTGCCCGACAGAGGGGCTACTAGCCCAGCACTAATCTACCAGAAAATCACTTTGGATCAAAGGGGCTATTAGCCCACCGCTACTCTACCAGAAAATCACTTTGGATCAAAGGGGCTACTAGCCCGCCGCTACTCTACTAGAAGATCACTTTAGATCAAACGGACTACTAGCCCACCAGCACAAGAGATAAAAACTTTTGGATCACAGATCCACTTCAAGCCGAAAGCTGCACGGCAAAGTTTGTCTAGTGTTCACAACACACAAGTGAAAACACTGTTTTCCTTTTACGACAAAACTTTGTCTACACTTTCGGCGGGAAATAAAACCCATTCACGCACGCATGATGGAAGCGAGTTTCTGGATTCTCGCGAGCTCCTTTCCAATTCTCTTGGCACTCCAGCAAAGGTTGCTCCTCCGAAGTTGTCGTCTCCGGCGCAGGAACAAAAACCCCGCTTCTCGGGATGTCCTTGAAGTAACCAGTAGGAGCGCCCGATTGGAGGCAAGCGAACAGAGTGTCGTCGGGATCTTCCAAGGCCTCTGACAGTTGCTGAAGTGCATTGAGAGTGTACGGCTGAAAAGGTTGAACAGACCAGTCCACCCGTCGTGGCCACCAAGAACTCTGAAAAGATGGCCCGACAGCTTTCAATCTCTCCCTCCGAAAACAATGGAGAATCCGACTTGGCCAGGACATGTTCGCGCAAGCGAATCGGGGCCTTCAACTCAAAAAGCTTCTGCGTCAGAGCATGCCTGACCTGCTGAAGTCTGTCAACCGTCCCATTCGGGGGAAAAGACCAGTCGGGGACCGAGTAGATGCCAGCCCCATCTTGATGCGCGAAAGGCATGTCGAAGCGACCTTTAGCAGGGATTAGCTGATATAGCTGAGACAGCTGGACATCCAAAGGATTTTCGCATGTCGAAAACAGTGGGAGAGCGGCCGATACATACGCCGCCGCGAGCTTCGCGGGGAACTCCGATGTCTGTTGAGAGGCATAACCTCCGGACTCATCCCCAACCCCTGCGATGAGAGCCCTCAGCATGTGAGCAATCCTTGGCCAATCGCTGCATATCCCGAAAAGAGGTAGCGAAAGCCCAGCGTTTCGAGATATCCCAACCGTAAGCGCAAGCCGCTACCACAAGCACATCGGCATTGGCCTTCTGAAGCAGAATGCGGACCGCTTCTTCCAGCCAAAGCATGCTGTTTGCTGGATTTTCAAGGCTAAAATGCCCGCCAGCCTTGTAGGTGGCGTGCAGAAGCTCGACGGCACGCTCCATCAGAGTCCGGCTGGCGTCCACTCGCTCTTGTTCGGAAGAAGAAAGACCTGGGACCCCCGCCAAATGTTCCGGGGTGCGCAAAGGCTTCGGACCAGGCCGGATAAGCTTGCACCTGGAATACTCCCGGCATGGTGGCGATGCATGAGCCGAGGTGACCGCTCCCGAAAAGCTCAATCGCAAAAGAGGTTCAAAAAGCGAATCATCTAGAAGATCATGCTCCGAAGCCAACATTGTATCCACCGAAAGAACAGACACCCCAGCATGTAAGAAAGCAGACGATAGTGGCCGAGCATGACCAGCAAACAGATCCAGGAAAAGATTCCCGCGCACCTTGGAAAGATCAAGAACTGAAGGTGGAGCCGGAAGAATCCCTGCCCCAGACAATTCTGAAGCGGCCGTTTGACATGAAGAATCTGGCAGCGGAAAGTGCAAATCCCGCAGCCGCTGCACATCACTAGCCGATACTCCCGGCAGTTGGGCCGAAGTATATGCTGTCAGGACCCACCGGTCCCCAGTCCAAGGCTCCGAACAATGTGGTAGGGAACCGTCGAAAGAGATCCCTGACCTTCGAGTGTTGAAAATGCAACCGCGCAATGTTTGATCAGCCTGAGCGTCCGTGGGAGGGACCCGAGGATGCTCCGGAAATGCCGAATCCGCGACCTGGATCCAGAGGCCCCCTTTGTCGAAAGCCCCCAAGCTGCAAGAGTGATTCAAAGAGCCTGGGGCATTGAAATCCGAATGAAGATGAGCGAATTCGTTGTGCGATATGCAGAAACTAGACCATGTCCCATCAGGGAAGACTGACTGTAAGAAAAGATTTACATACTCCACCAACTTGGGGTTTTCCAAGGTGAAGCGACAAAGGCCGCCAAGAGAGCCTGAGCGTACCCCGGCGTTGAAGTAGCTAGCATGGTTCCGGCCACCCTCCAGAACCTTTGTCCGAAGCAACTGAGTTGATCCTGGACAGTGCTGTTGCAAAACGGATAGACATGTCTCCCAATCCAAATCTTGCTGAGAGCTGCTATGCACCAGCTCCGCGGCATCGAATCTGCCTGTCCTGACATCCGAGGAATCATCCGAGAGTCAGTGAGGCATAGCCTTATGCTGATGCGCCGGGTGCTTGCCCAAGCAAGGTCTGCCGTCAGGACGCGGTACCGGACACAAATGCTCGAATTTGCAATCCGTGAAGGAACAGCCCTTTGCCGAAGAGTAGTCCCGGCACAGGAGACGAGTCTTACCTTTGTCCTCAAACTTCGTGATCCATTTTGCACCAGTTTGACCAGACTGACCCCCATTCGCACCTCGATTTTGGGCACCGCCACCCGGGACTGCAGTAGCGAAGCCATGTCCCCCCTGATCTCCGTGTACTCTGTCAGAGCATCATCCAAGGACCAGCCATGAAGATTGACCAGATCGGCCATCTGGCACCATAGCTGACGATCTGCTTGCATGATTTCCTCAGCAAAAGGATTGCGAATGCCCGCCTCGCATTTTTGGGTCGCCAGTTTGATGAACTTGCGCTCAAACTTGCGAAGGCTCGCAAGGTGCGCGCCCTGAGCATCGCTACAGCCACTGAAACCAAGCTCAAGATGCCCGAGAGATAGTTCGCGCCAACTGCTCCAGCTGGTATTTCACGCTGGGGCACGTCGTCGTATATCAGCTCTTCTAACCGGGGCACCTTAGCTGGGCGCCGCAAAGCCAGGGAGTCTTGTTGGGCCTGGCTCATCCTGAGTTTCCACGGGATCCACCGCAGCTCTCCTTTTTGAACGACCTTAGCCACATAGGCTAGCAACCTGGCCGACGGATAATTGTCGGGATCTAAGATCTCCCCCGGGTAGCGGGCGTGAAACTGTTTCTGAAGAGACATCACACGCTCGCCTGAAAGCTTGGGGGGAAACTGTTCGGACCAGCTTGATGTAGAAAACCCCGAAGTGATGTCGTTCTCCTCTTGGCGCTTGCCCTGACGAGCTGCTGACGACTGCTGACGGCAAGTCTCGTAAAGCAGTCGTAGCGAAGACAGCAGAAGCAGGCGCTGAGCAGTGGAGGGCGGTTCCACGGCGCCCTCGAGCAGATCCTTGAGCGCCTCACCCAAAGCTGAGGAATCAGCCGCAATGCAGCCGAAAAGGCTGACATCAAACCCCGCGAGAATCCCATGGTAATCTGGCGGGACTTTGCACTGATCTGCCAAGGCCACCAAAGCTTCGTTCAGCGGCGCAGGCAGAGCTTCTGGTTCGCCCCGTCATCGCCCTAGCACAATGGCAATCAAAAGAAGCCAGCTACTAACCTGCATGAAATCTGGTGCCGGAGCCGGCAAGCCCAAACGAGATCATAAGAAGCAAACTCACACTCGACATCACCGGCCGCGATACAGCCGGGACCGCAAGGCAGCCGACGTACCCTGACTGGCCGCCCAAGACACCCTAAGCCACCCGGGCATAAACCGAAGTGAATTTCGATCACAGGACAATAGCTCCAAACCTGCCGCCCGCTGTGGAATCATTTGCCGCAACAACACTTGAACGTACTGCACATTCATGTTTCTCCAGCGCCTTTTCTGACATCCAAAATTGACGCCAAGTGTGCACTCTTCAGTCCCGGATGTGTACCGATCGCCCTTGCGCAGAAACAGTCCCCTCGATGCCCGGCTCGCTTGCCGACGCATGCGAGGATCGCCATACCCGACCGTGCAGTGCGCGAAAGAGTCTGCTAGCCGACTGAAGCTGCCCCAGCCACCAACCTATGACACAAAAATCGCCTGACATGCTTTATGTCGGCAAAATCTGGGATTCGACGGAAGCTCAGGTCTGATCTTCATGTTGTGCGCCAAAGTGCCACATCTCGGCTTGACCCGAACAAGCTCACCGTCCTCGCGCTTCACCAAAACCCCATCACACCCGGAGCAGGGAGTAGCAGCATGAATGATGCCAGACGATGTCTGAACCCAAATCTGCTCATCAGATTCAGAGAACCTATTGACTGCAGCCACTACCGCACCTTTCTTCTTGCACGAAGCCGACGACGAAGAAGATGATGAAGAATCAATGTCCGAATCTGATGATTCCTGCTGTTCCTCGGGCTGAGGATGTGCCTGCGCTTGCTCCTGAGTCGGGGTACGCACTGAGGACGCCAATGAGCCAGCCTCCACCGGAAAGCGATGATGAGCAGGAGATGACGAGTAGGACAAGACCTTCGGTTCAATGGCTTGTTGCGCAGCTGGTTGCTGACCGCCGCGAGCCTGAGGGTTCAGCGGCATCCAATTGCTACGGACCCGATCCCAAAAGAGCTGTTGAAGGGAAAGTGCCCCATGTACATCATCCCTGCTATAAAGAAGAACGCAGCCATTCTGTCCGGTTCTGTGATGACCTTGAAGGCCTCTTTTGCGAAAAGACACCTGCAGTTGTGCCAACGCAGCCAATAGACAAGTCTTCAGGGAATGTAGAGTGTATGAGGAGGCCTCTGTGGGACTCATGCCAGCCAACACCAAAATCCCCCTGAATGCCGACAAAGCTTGCGCGTAGCTCATGGGTTGCCATTCTGTTGAGCTGGAGATGAAGAATAAAGCGTCCGGCACTGTCTCCCCAAAGCGCGAAACAATTGAATCCCATTCGGAGCCCAACAGAAAAAGGTATTTGCACACCCAACTGCGATAGTAGGAGCCAAATGGCATCCCCCGCCGGGATGACTTTGTTCGATATGAAATGGCCCTCACATTATCTTGAGCAGCTTGAATCGATGTCCATAAAATGTGTTGCGCATCGGAGAAGCGAAGGCTGGCCGATGCCGAAATGAGAATTGCGCCCAAAAATAATCTGAACCCCACGGAACCCGACTCCAGTAGAAGAGCACGCTCACAGTAAGCCAAAACATAAATCGGAAGCGGAAGAGCCTCCTTTCTGTCGGAAGTAATGCGAGCCTCCACTCCAACCAAGAGGCCTCCATAGAGATCTGGCAGGGCGAGCCCAAACGTCTTGGCGGCCCAGCGAACTGCCTTCAAACCATTGGTGACATGTGAGCCTGACTTGTGCATAGACAGAAGAGCATCGACCACTTCAAGCTGTCGAATAGACTCCCAGCGCACGTTCAAATCCTGTAATGTTCCCACGAACTTCAGCAGATGAGCCAAATATCGAACCAAAGTGTTTTCCGAAACCGACTTCAGCAGATTCTGCAATAGGGTTGAAGCGTGACGAGACTCCCCGAGCTCCTGCAACACTGAAGAAATCGTCTGTAACCAAGCTGAAGTGCCCATGTGCTCTGTTGGCAGTTGCGCAAGATAGCATGCTTCATTAAAACACATGTCGCCTGAAGCACAGGTCTAAGCAAAAATGTGCACATGATTGCCGCGCTATTGTTCATTTGAGCCCCCCGATCGCGAAGAAGGAGTTTTCTCACCCCTGACGCCACAAGAGGCAATCAATCTCGATTGGCACGCATGATCGCAGGCTCTCACGCTGTGCACCGCAAGAGAAGTCCCACAGAAGCTTCTGTGATCGCCGCCAATTTTTACCCCTCGAGGCATCAAAGTGCTGTCGCAACGATGCTTGGAGCACCACTACCGCAAAGGTCGCAACGATGCTTGGAGCACCACGACCGCAACACTCTGCCGAGACTGCCATGCGACTGCCACCTTCCAGGAGGGCGATCGCATTGCCCCAAAACTGCAGCCTGCCTAGAGAGAGAGGCGAGCTTGCATCCCGAGCACCGGCCGTGGCAATGAGCAGTAAGGCCTCATCGAACAGCTCGGCAGCCTCTGCGAGCTCGCCGACGAAGCTGCTTCTGCACGTTCTTTGCAAAACGACCGCAACGCACCAAGCGCAGAGCACGAAGCATGCGCATCTCACACACGTCGGCCCAGGAAGACGAAAAAGTTGGGCGTTCCCCACAGCTCTCCAGATGCATAACCATGCCTCGAAGAAGGAAAGCGGGATAGCGTCCGCCCTCTGCACATGTACGCGAAGCCGCATCCAGAAGCTGAGCCACTGTAGTAGACGAAGAAAAATCCACAAGGCATTCTGGAGATCCGTCTCGAACTACCTGTAAGCTGCCATGTGTCCGAGTGTCCCAATGCAGCAGCTTGTCTGATGAAGGTTCAAGAAGTCGAAGCATTCTGCAGATTTCGCAGCCGGAACCAAAGCGAGGCATCATGATGGTGAGCAGGAGTTTCGCCCTCGTGAGCTGCTGTAGCCAAACTATGGCCGAAGGAAACCGCTATTGACGTTGTCCGGGGTGACTCACACTGCACCACCGACATAGGGCTTTCAGACCGGGGGTTGGACCAAGGATCCCGAGAGCTCGCCACCAAGTTTGCCAGCCACGACGATTGCTCCTCATCAGAGCCCTCCTGATGCGAATTGACAGAAGAGGCCATACTGTCACTACCGCCCCAAATAAAGTCTCTGAAGGCGCCTGCGATCACCGTCAGCTAAATCGGCAATAGCCAGCAAGAGGACGCGCAAAGTGCGAGAGCTGTTTTGCAACTGTCCAGTCTCAGCGAAACCCAAAAAAAGCAGAATGTAGCTCGAACTCCTGGTGGCACCTACCACGTGGTGCAGCTCGGCACCAAGCACAGCAGATCTCCACCCCGTGACCTCAAGGCCCTCGTGCAATAAGACGAGTATCAGCCGCCTGCGTGGCACCGGAGCGGCCGCGCGCATGGGCAGCGCCCGCAGGAGCGCCAAGAGGCCTAGTGCATGAACACCTAAGCTGCAAAGTGTTTGATGTAATGAGCAGCCGTGCTAGCCTGCAAAGATGTGAATGTGTCCCAGCACAAATCAAAAACGCAACAGCTCTCTCGTGAGCCGGCTTCGCTGCGGCATCCGATAAAGATGCGAAACAGGGCTCCAAGGAAACATGACATGCCGCATGCAAAAAAGGAGGGAATACAAAATCGCACCGGGCTCGCAGGCCTTCCACCCGACACGTGAAAAGTGCGAGCATGGGAGCGTCGGCATCACACAAGCACAGGTCACAGTAAATTAGAGAAAAACCCTAAGGGAAGGACCTAGACCCGAAACCACAAAGGGAGAGTCCAGGCGAGGGGCCAAATTAAAATAAACATTTGCAAGCGGCGCACACTCGAAAGCCATGCCAAGAGCAATCAAGAAATTGAGAAGCCCAAGGTGTGGAGTCCTAGATCATCCTGGTGCAGCCAAGCAATGTCAGGGCCTTGCCCCTGCGGGCTCAGCATCATCGAGAGGGACGCTCTTCACATGTTTGTCCAGCCGCTCAGCAGCAGCTGCCGCAAGCCGTATGGTAGTCAGCTCCCAATCCCGAGCCTGATCACACTGCTGATGCCAGCGCTCCCTTTGAGAGCCCGAAAGCCTGTTTTGCATGCAGCTGCCCGCCGCCTGATCCGCAGCATGGTTAAAGGCGCGGAGTACATCCGCATCGTGATCCGAGGAAGGCCTCCAGCGGCGGTGCTTATTGTGTGACGGCACCCAAATCAAGGAGATCACACAGCCGCGCCCCTCCAGCTCCTTCCAGAGACGGCACGTGTCCCTCAGCAAGAGACCCAAAGTAAAGGGGTCGTCACCATGGCCCGAGATGGCCGTGAGAGCAGCTTTGCAGTCAGTCAAGAGAAAGATGCACGTCTCGCAACCCTCACTCCACACCCGGTGGATCGAAGCAAAGGCCGCGTGGAGGGCCAGAACTTCTTGCCGATACGGGGATTGATCCTCTGCCCCAGTGCCCATGGCATAGACACAAGACGGATCGCCAATCACCACCGCATAAGCGCCGACAGATCGATGGCTGGAGCCATCAGTAGCCGCATAAATCTTGTTCTGGCCCGAGCCGAGCGCATCCCGAAAAACCCGACAGTCGGAGGAGGCAGGCGCCGGAGGCTTCAAGGGAGTGGGCTTTGCAAACATGCGTTCCTCCGCTCGCGTCATCGGCGGGGGATGGCCTCGTCGGAGCTCCTCAGTGCACTCACAAGCCCAGGTCACGTGCGGTCGCGACGGAGCAGTCGCGCCGCAAAGACAATGCATGCGCCGGTGCTGCTCGTTCAAACCCTGCCCGGCCGTGAAGAACCAGCAGGAACCTCCCGTGACGGCAGCAGCCCGTCGCATATAAGTAGCGGTCGCCTCATGCATGGCGACACGGTGCCCACGAAAACTAAATCGTGCATCCCGAGACGGAGGCTCAAGATCCAGTCCTCGAGCAAGGCTCGGGTCCGGCCTATGGAAGCTACGCCAGACACGTTGGCATCTCTGCATGTAAAGGTGCCGGTAGTGGTCAAACAGCCAGCCCTTAACCTCAGCAAAGCTCTCCCACCCGACCTGCACCTCACGAGAGAGTCCCAAGTCGTCGCGGCAGACGAAAAAGAAGCCGTCAGGGCGTTCAGTGACGTTCCACCCCAGTCTACGGAGAAGGTCAGGCGCAGCAGGCAACAGTTGATCCCAGCGCTGGCTCCGGACGTCCCGCGGCTGCGCAGGGCAAAGGCCGGAGGCTTGCAGAGGAGGCGCCAAGCCTCGCGGAGAACAGCAGTGTCAGCGGCGCACTGTGGCTCCAGCATCCACCCAACATGTTCGAAGATCAAGACACGCGGGGCATCGAAGGAAAATTGACAGTCAAATACCCGAATCGCAGCATCTTTAACTTGTTGCATTTCACCTGCCCTTGGCGTGGCGTAGGCAGCGGCCCACACTAAACACGGGTAGACAAGCGATTTCAACATGAGGGCCCGCAGTCGACTGCAGGCAGTGACCCAGCGCAAAAGATCCATGCGCAGTAAAGCTTTTCTCAAGGAGAAATTCAGCAAGCCCCATTCATCGTTAAAGGAAACAGTGACACCTAGTACATCAAGGGTATGCGAGTACTGATAGTGTAAGCGGGCAGCCAGAGCAGGAGCCTCAACATGACCCTCTGGCGCCACGATCGCGCACTTGGGCAAGGATATTTCGAGACCGCAAGTGGCATCGAAGCGGTTTGAGCGCTGGATTGCATGCTCCAGCTCGCTAAGATCCGCAGAAAAAGTCCAGAATGACCGGTCATCCAAATAGACCAGTCCTGAAACCCCTTGCCTCAAAACAGCTAACGTCCAAAGGTGGCTGAAAGCGGCCGCGAGGGTGGGGCTTAAGGGACAACCCTGAGCTATACCCAAGCGGGGCCTAAACCAGGCATTGCTGTATGCGCCCTCAAATTGGATGATGCGCGAAGCTCGCGTGTAAAAGGCCTTCAGCAGCGGCCAAAGAAAAGGCGGCGCTTTCAGATGAGAAAGAAGCACCTCAAGGGCTTCAAACTGGATAGCATCGAAGAAACCCGCAATGTCCTGCTGAACCGCTACGCTGGCGCCACCGCGCATTGCAGCATTCAGTTGAAGTAGGGCACCCGACACCGACGTGCCCGGGATGCCGCCGGCATCCGACGGGGATCTCCACGAACCTATCCAGTCGGAGAGCTGGGCATTCAAAACCCGTGCTCCCGCACGCCAGACAGCTTGAGATATGGTTAACTTGAATGTTTTCAAGAAGCTTCGTAGTCCCGCACATTTCCCCTGACCCCGACAATTGTTTTGACCCTGACAATTGTTTTGACAATTGTTTTGACAATTGTTTGACAATTGTTTGAAATTAGTGCAATTTATTGAACAATTGTTTTTTAATTGTTTCAAAATTGTACAATTTTTTGAACAATTGTTTTTCAATTGTTTTGAAAACTGTGTTTTTCTTTAAAAATTGTTTTGCAAGGGCTTTGTTCTTGCACATTCTTTAAACATGTGCTTTGCAAAAATCTGATACGTGATATTTGCTTCAGTTGTCTTTCAAAAAATATTGTTAAAAATATTTGCAACGATTTCAAAGAAGTTTGCTTAGCCTGTTGCTTTTCTTCAAATGCGACACCAAGCTTTAGCGGATGCGATTCCGCCATTCATCATTACAACAAAAGCTAGCACATGCACTGCACTTAACAGCCGTAGCAGCCTCCGCAAAACGCACAGCGGCGCCTTTTTTGTGCCCGAAGTCTGCTCCAGAGTCCGGTCGCCAAAACTCTGAAACCAAAAGCCTGAAGCACAGTCTCTGCTGTAAACCTGGCCTGAGGCCCGTCGCCTGCGCAGCCAAGTTAGCACCGGGCCGAAGGCCAAGGCTTCACAACGAAGTCAAAGGCAAAGGTGCTAAGGCTGCTGAGGCTAAGGCTCTACTTGCTCAACCTGGACAAGGGCCAGAGGCCTGGTTGAAGCTCACAAAGACACGAGAAAAGCCAATGCATCCATAGCTTCTTCAACATCTGCAACCTTCACCGTCTCAGTGGCTGCACGGTAATCCACTGCGCAAACAGCAGACTGCCACACCGCGAGCAAAACCGGAAACGAAAAGGAGTTGCCTGCCAGATCCATCATGAGGGCTTCCGTCAGCCAAGGCTTGTCATTCAGTCTTTTTTTGCGCTTCTTCGCACTATCGCCTGCAAGATTGGGAAATGGATCGTCACAAGCGTTGTATCCAGCCACATCCATGTCGCGCAAGAAAGTCTCGACCGGAAACCCTTGCAGGATCAAAGCTTCCCTCCCGAGCAGAAGCCTTGGAGGTCTCACAAGTTCAACAAAAAGAATCTGTCCAGGGAGCATGGTAGGCGCAACATGCTTTGTACACCCCTCAGCCAGCGTCATGGTGTGGATGCGGTTCAAAGACTGGCTCAGGTTGCGGAAGCCTGCCTGCGGCGCGTGGGACCGGGAAAGCACCAAGGCATCCTTTTCACGGTCTGTCAAGGTTCGAAACCATGGGCTGCTCTCCAATTCCCGACCTGCCGGTTGGCCCCATCGAACGCCTAAGGTTTCACTGGCCTTCAAGTGTTGCTCTACCCAGTTGGCAGCAGGCTGGGCTTTCGCCTTTGCCTTGGCTTTGGCATTGGCGGCCCTCTCTTCTGCTTGCGCCCGTTTGTTCTGCAACTCTAGAAGACCAGCCGAAACGGCTTCACAACTCCCATCCAAAAGGACCTCAGTGACGCACGGCGCAGATCGCATGCAAGAAGCTGTCATGCTTCTGAACATGGTTACAGACTGCGAGAGCGGACGGTCTTGGAAACAAAACTTGTGAAACGTCCGCTTGAAAAAGCAGATGTAGACCCGGCGCCGTTTGGATGGGCATCCAAACTCATGAGCATCAGTCATCATTGGCTGAGCCTCATACCCGAAACCTTTCATCGTCTGCACAACCACGTCCATGTTGCTCTGCGCAGTCTGGCCGACGTTGTCGTCAAGGCCATCCACGTTCCTGATTTGTGGTCAAATGTCGGAAGCGGATGAGAAGGACCTGAAGCCTAAAACCCTCCACTACTTCTACTTCTAACTTCAGACCCTACTTGAAAACAGATTATTTGAAAGCCCAAAAACAGTAAACACGGCAACCAACTCTACAAAAGTTGCAGCGTAGGAGCTCAAACACCACAATACCCGGCTGCTTGATGGAAACGTAGCTTGCAAAGCCTTGCCATGTCTGCGCAGTTCCGCCACGCGAGTGCCCTTCGGCTATCACATGCTTCGACATGTCTCGCCCAGGATTCTGACGGGAAACGTCTTTGCAGCTCACACCGCACATGAACACATCCACCTGCGGGACCGGGCATTCTCGATTGTGCACAACACAATGGGCTGTCTCGTTTCCTAAGTTCTGTATGTCTGCAAAGATGCAAGTGTGATGACTCTCATCGTCATCCTCATCATCTGCCCCAAACAGATCTGCGAACAGCTCATCAGCATCCGCGCAACGGTGTGAGGCAGAAACTACATGCACCCACTTTTGCTTGTCTCTGCAGGACTCACAACTGAAGCGGTGCTGCAGCCTCACAGGCCACTTCGCTCCAGCAAAACTTGCATTAATGGCATGTGCTACGTACAAGGCACCCTCGCATCCAGAGCATGCGGAACCCCACGAAAGTTGGGTCTTCGGCATCTTGGCCACAGGCCCATCTCCGAACTGCTCGGGGTAGAATTTGGCAAAGCCATGCAAATTTTCTGCGGCACATTCCTTCAAGAGGGTGCAGTCTATGAACCACTTCGCCTCAACAACCCGGCTAGAAGCCTCGGCCATCAAGACAGGCTCAGCTCTGGAGTTGGAGGAAACTCTGGACAGTTGCCGGGACTGAGACGAGCTCGTAGCGCTTTCAGTCGTCTCGAACGCCATGCTGGGGAACAATGCCGCGGGCGGTCTAACCAGAGGCGGACATAATATATGGGCTAAAAGCCCCAAAACTCAAAACCGCGACGCAGACCGTGGTGGTGACTACCCTGGAGCGCTACAAGTTGGAGGACTTCTGACGTCTGTAGTGTTTACCGTTTAATTGCACATCCTTGTTCTGTCATTGAGCCAACATCAACATGCAGACATGACATCACTGGCGGTCACACAAAACCCCTACACCCAAACTCTTTACTTAGGTTAACAGTTCACAGTGACAGTGACAAACTGGCAACATCCGCTGAAGCGTTGAAGTTGAAGCCGAAGCTGGCAAGGAACCCACCACACGTGGCCACCACAAAACTCACCCAAAACGTCTTGACTTTGTCTTAACGCACAACATGCTAGCACCCTGCACTTTTCTTCACATTTCGCTCTGCGTGAAACGTCCTGCTCTTTGGTCTTTGTCTTTGTCTGCCCTGACGGAACGGGCGAGCCGATATGAAGCTGTTAGCATTGGGAAAGTTCCCCTGAAATCTCCCGAACAACGACAACTCCATCAGCTCAAAGACTGAAGTAAAATGTCTCTGAAGCTGAAACTTGGCCCGAAGGCTCAAAGTCACAGCTCGACATCAAAACGTGGCCAAAGGCCAAAGGCCTCAATCCACCTCTCGCTTTCGCTTTGACTTGGATCCCATCAAAACGTGGCCGAAGGCCTCAATCCCCCTCTCGCTTTCGCTTTGACTTGGATCCGCTCTTCTTCTTCTTGCTCTCGCTCTCATCGTCAGAGTCCTTTCCCTTCTTTTTCTTCTTTTCTGCCGCCTTCTTCTTCTTCTCGGGTTCCTCGGCCGGTTCTTCGGCAGGCTTGCGCTTGTTTCCTTTGTTGGGAACAGCCGCGACGGCTGACTCATCTGGTGACTTCTTGGGATTCAAGCAATCGTTTGCCTCATTGAGAACAGTCTCTGCAAAAGCGCGGAGGCTAAAATACTCGCTTCCTGGTGCAATCTGGGCCTTCAGATTGTCGCATAGATTGCTCAGCGCACTGTGCACACCCACAAGCTTCTGCATCAGCTCCTTGCCCTCTTGTGAAGCAGCGCTCAAGTTTGGCATGCGCAACAGGCAAAGGGCTGCAACAATGCTCACATGCGTCTTGCCACAAAGTGCAACCTCGTTGCAGGTCTTGGCAAAAGCCTCCGAAGACTCTCCAGCTTCCCTGAAGTTCACACCGTCTGACTTGCGAATGAGCTGCTCATGCGGCACTTCCGCTTCCGAGCCTGCGGACTGAAACACTGTCACGGCCAATGTCGCGATGTCATCTTGGAGCTCCTTGATCGTCTCAGCTCCTGACGACACCTGGCCGGACAGGCCTGCCAGCTCCTTCACCAGCGGGATCGCCGCGACTCGGTAATCCTCCTCAGCTTTGCTGCAGGCCTTGGGAAGGCTTTGAAGAAGCGATTGAAGCCTCTCGACGCTTTGCCAGGCCTGCAAGCAAGTCTTGCGAGCCGTGGCCAGGAGCCGCCTTCGCAGAAGTCCTGCACGCTGCTCGAGGCACTGCAAGGTAGAGCTGTCCGCAATCTTTGTTGGCTTCAGCTCCGCTTCAAAGTCCTTGGACTTCTGGACGTTTGCAAGTTCTTCGGACAGCAGCTTCAACGACTTGGTCAAAGACCGAACCTCACCTGATTCTGGGTTGGCAGTCGGGATCATTGCAACCTTTCAGGGGAACTCTCTGACTCAATGCTTCAGCCTTCAGCAACCCAAAACCCAAAACTCTGAACATCGGTGTCACGGCTAAGCCTTTCGAAGTTTTAGTGTTCGATACCAGTACCGCTACCGTGGCCTTGGACCTTGGATTTAGACTTATAGATCTAGCCTAGCAGTAAACAACGAAAACTTTAACCGTTGGACCAAATGACGAAAGGGACAAAGCAATGATTGCTGACAGTGACATAGTGACGAGGACGTAATCAGTAGTCATAGTCATAGTCATAGTCATACTGACTACATGTACATAGTGACAAAGTGAACCTATTTACTATTTGCCATTTGCGATTTGCCTGTTGCCTGGCTAGCCTGAGCTCAGCGGTGTACAGCGCAAGCAAATTATCACGAGCAACCGGGCATGCGGCTTACGGCTTACAGGCAACGCGGCAATGGAGGACTGGGCCTGCAAGAACGACTCGACGAGACCACGGAGGGGGTGCTGCTGCGGCACTTTCTGCAAAACGTCGTCGTGAACACCACGAGTGAGACCACAGGCCAAAGCGCCTTGCACATATTGATCGACGATTGGAGCCACACTGCTGAGACCCGCTGAATAGAGCAACTGCAGCTCTGCCTGAAGTGGTTTAACCAACCAGTGTTCGATTGCCTCCAAGAGAGCTGGTTCGGAAACCCAGGTTTTTGCATGCTTCCGTGCCTTTTCGGTCCAGTCTTGCATGGTTTCTGGCAGCACTTTGTCTTTGCCGACAGAAACCTGGCTGAAAGCCGGCTGCTTCATAAAAACGAATCGCATCATGGAAGCTAGCAGCGATGTCGCTTTGCTGTAATCAGCGATCAAAGCTTGCACTGCAGGCAGGCTCTGCCAGAGCTTGTTCTCAACGAAAGCGACAGCGGAAAAACCACTGAGGAACTCGTCCAAATTGATGATGGCCGTGCCTGACCCGACTGGGCCAGAGGCCGGAACGTCTGCATCTGCTTGCTGCGGAAGCTTCACCATGCAGTTGTTCTTCAGCGCCTCAAAACCCACAGTCCTTACACATGGCTGATAAGTTTTGCCCTTTGCGACGTTTGGGCTTTGGCTTGGTGCGACTATGAGTTCTAGACCCGCCAATGATTTGGACGCTAAACCCCCGATCTTGTGGAAAAATGTGGTACGATCTGTATCTATATCTATATCTATATCTATACATCCGAACACAGTGGTTAAACGCAGCTACTGGGAAACAGCCAAGGCGCAGGTGCTCGGAGATGTTCATGTTGAGTTCGTCTTGCACCATGGTGACCGCGATTTTTGACAGGCGCCCAGCGCAGGATTGCACTGTCTCAACAGCACTCATGCCGGTCTCGCTATCAGCCTTCTGCGCGGCCTTGCGCTTCAAGAAAGCGCAAGCCTGCAACTCCTCCATGGCTTTGACCGCCGGGCTGAGGTCGCTAACGATAAATGCAATTCCCTGGCTTTTTGCCGCCGTTCTGTGCGTGATCTCCTTGGCTGCCTGTTGCAGCCTTTCCAACGGCGCCTGCAAAGCTTTCAGCAACTCCTGGTAGTCGGCCTCTGCTTGCCCATGTTCCACTCTATCAGTGGCGAGAGCCACCAGAGCTTTGCCAATATCATGCTGGATGAAAAAACGCGTCATGCCATCCAACTTTTCCAGCTGCTCGGAAGCGACTCCCTGAATCTTCTGGACGTTGTCTCGGAGACTTGCCATGTCCTTCATGTCCAGAAAAGAGAAGGCTACGGACGCAGAGTCTGCGATGCTGCTTGCAAGGAACCCTTTGGCCTCAGACGCACGCGCAATGCAAGCGGCCAGCTGGCTTGCCTCATGCAAAGTCGGGGTCTCAGACTCAGGATCTGCAATGTGGACAAACCCCGAGGACTTCAGCTTCAACTCTGTCATGCAAACATTTCGCATGGCTGAAAGCAGCCGATTCTCGATCTCAGCAGATACGGCAAGGCGTAGCTGATCCATGGTTACGGATGAGCTGAGGATGTCCTGGGCATCCTTGCTGTCCTCGCAGAGGATCTCGCAAAGTCGGTCGTAGTTGCAATGCAAGCATGCTTCGTTGACCTTTGCCAAGAGACACTTCATTGCGAAACCCGGCCCAAGGCCAAAGCCCAGACTTCCCGCGAAGGTTCTGCACTTGTTCAGAGTGCCAAGGAACACTTCGGGATCAGGGGTTGCCACAGGCATCATGCCCAACAGCTCTCCGAGCGCTGTGGCAGCATCGGTGATTTCAGTAAGACCTTGTAGCTGGTCTGCAAAAGCATCTTTGTTGGGGCTTTTTTCCACTTTTTTCACATGCTCCGAGGCGTGCTTCCTGATCTGGTTGAGCTCGGTGACGCGCTTGAGACAATGTGCGCGATACTCTTTTGAAGCTGCTTGGTTTTGCGACACAGGCTCGTCATCGTAACGGATCTCTTTGAGCTTCTCGGCAAGCTTCGTATTGGCATCGTTGAGGCGACTCCTGATAGGTCAAGCTGAGATTTCCTAGCACTCGACTTTGCCTTATCAGATTTGGCTTAGCTACAGCTATAATGGGCTATAGTTTAGAGCCTATAGAAATTTATTCATAGTCTTCTATGGCAGCTTACGCCTTAGGCCTCATGTCTCATGACTTATGCTGATGGTTACCACAACTAAAGATAGTAGTACTACCCAATCCCAACCCCTCTTCATTGAATCTATAGCCTACAGCCTAAAGTCTTTAAAGATATTACACTTGCGGAAACACGGCAAAAGTTTAGCAAACATCATAAATGATTCAATACATTCGCCTGACTCCTTTCCCGAAAGCCCTAACCCTCAAGCCTAAACCCGAAACTCCGAAAGCCTAATCCCCAAACATAATTGTCTGGGCCTGTCTAGAGATCAAACCCCGATACTTGCTGTTGAGGCTCAGTGTGCGATTTGCACGCCCATCAAGCTGAAGAATGCCTACGGTAGAGCTTTTGTCGGGATCGCTTGAAGGAGCCGCACCCGCAACCGAAGGCGCAGAGAGTTTGGTCTTTCCTTTGGGCTGCGCAACCTTTGCCGACGGCGTCGGCTTGGCTGGCTTTCCACCCGTGCTGAAGCCTTCCTTTGCCTTGACTTTGGCAGCCGCAGGCGCAGGCGTCACCGTAGACTTGGTGTTGGCACCGCCTTTGTTGGACGCTGCCGCTGCTGCTTTTGCCTTCTTGGCTGCTGGGGCGAGCATCGCCAACCCGGCCGAAGGCCCTGTCTGGGCCTCCTCTTCTGAGCTGGAGCCACTGCTGCTGCCGTCGTCTTCGGCTTTCACTGGCAAAGTGGAAC